GGGGGGGGGGGGGGGGGGGGGGGGGGGTGGGTTGGGGGGGGGGGTGGTGGTTTGAAGAGATCCGAGCGCAGACGGCCGAGTGAAAGAAAGTTGGTCCTTTTGTTGCAATCCATCTTACCCACTCTACAATCACGACACCGGGTGGACGTTGGGAACGCAACAATGGAATGATCTACCCTGACACTCCAACAATGTCATCGCCGTAACTGTGGTGTCGTAGTAGTTTATAGGTCTGTAATAACGGACTGTATAGAGCCACTAGAGTAGAGATGTCTATTAAGAAGATCTGTTATGATTGGTGTAACAACAGTAACATGGAAAAAAGATGGTTCAGTCGTGATTCACTGCAAGGTGGCACGAAGAAGTTTGTCATCGAGGTTATTGAGTCATGTGTTTTGAACACCTGGATGTCTTAACTGTTTTAACTGTCGTGTGTTGATCACCTGACTGATGACACGTTTGGGAAAGATAGAAGGAACTACATAAACTGCCTACATATGCGTTCATGATGCACATACAACGACACATATTGACATGCAATGTAAATTGAGTAAAACAAAGTAGGGTTAAACCTGAACAAAAAAAACGCAACAAAACAGCGAACGTGTCGGCAGAAAGCCTTCGTCAGCGAACAAAACAACAGAAAAAAAACGGTATACAAATAAAAAATAAGAAATAGCACTTAGCCGGTAAGTAGTATCTGTGGGCAGCAATAGAAGTGCGATGACATTGTTGGAGTGACATGCAATGACATTCAATGAAACTCAATGACGCCTACCGACATCCATGACATTTTATGATATTTTCCATGACGTTCAATGAAACTCAGTTGCGAGGCCCAATAAAAAAAATATTGAAAATTTTCCCAGCAATAACATCCTGCCATATAGATGTTCATGTGTCAGGAAGATGTTCATGTGCCATATAAATGTTCATATGCCATATGCGTATTCTTTAAACAACAGTTCTTTGTGAACCGACTCTCTAAACAAAATTTGTTTACGGGCGTACTCTCTAAAAACAGTTCTTTGTGACCTACTCTCTAAAAAACAATTCATTGTGGACCTACTCTCTAAAAACAGTTCTTTGAGGACCTACTCTCTAAAAAAACAGTTCTTTGCGGACGTACTCTCTAAACAACAGTTCTTTGTGGACCTACTCTCTAATCAACAGTTCTTTGTGGACGTGCTCTCTAAACAACAACACAGCTGACATGTGACGTGGTGTAGATAGGGTGACGTTATTTACAGGGGTCGGTCTGGGTCAACCTTATGACTTAAGTCACACGTCATTCATGGGATCAAGAAGAAACAACAGCACCCTAACCGCACCCACCCATACCCACTAACCCCACCCACCCATAAAACACTCTAAAAAACGATGCCATTGCTTTGGTCAAATCCCAAGTCAGGCAAGGTCGTCGAACACAAGAATGACGTAACTTTATCGACTACGACGCCGATCATTAGGCTCGATTCTGACCTAACATTGCCTTCCCCCCAAACTCGCACCATTTCAATCATTTGTTTAGGGTAGTCCAGCAAGTGCTGGCAGCTCGTGCACGTCACGCGGACTGCCCCGCGCCTGCACGTGAACGCCGCTTCTAATGTCCCCCAAGGAATGTGGGTTCGAGACGTTTGAATGGGAGTTGTCCCATTGTCCACCCGGCCACCGACCAGCGACTGGGGTGGACAATAGGCAGCGTTCCTGGCCAGGGCATCGGCCTGCATCTTATTTGCTTTGTGAGTCGTGGAAGAAGAGGGGGGGGGGGTCAGAGG